TTGGCTGCATCTGACAAAAGGTACAATGGTACATGTAGTTTGACGCGTGCGTTCAGGTGCTGAAGGGTTCTTCCTACATATCGGCTATCACAATGCCGACATTCAAAATGATAGATTACATGGCTAATTAGTTGGGTAGGAAGAACATCCTTCTTCACCGTGAACGCACGGGCCGTAGTGAAGACAGTTGTCAATGCTGTGGCAAAATAGGTTTGTCTGACCACAGTCCTCACGGCGCGGGCCACATCCAGCGAAATTTGACCTTTCCATGGAAGTCGTAAAAATACACGACATGGGTCAGGTCCAAACTCAGGCTCGGCAACCTGAATATCAGGTTCACTAAACAGCTTACTGAGGAGCTGAACAGGATATCCATTCCGAACGAATACCTTCTTCAGGAAACAAAGCTCTTGCTGAAGCTTATCAGGCGAGCAAATCCGCCTAGCGCGCATGATCAAATTTCGTACGAGATTAGTTTTGTATAAAGTCGAGCAATAGGAGTCGTAGACAATGTATTGCCCGGTGAACGTTGGTTTTCGATATACTGAAGTTGAAACAGCCATCTCCGTTTTCTCGACTAACACATCGAGAAAAGACAAACGGTTTGACTGCTCATGTTCACATGTAAATTTCAGAGCGGGATGTAGGTTGTTGAGCATACCAAGAAACTCATTCGATTGTTCCAGATTACGGAAATGCGTGAACGAATCATCTACGAATCTAACATATAAGCTTGGCCACATCGCACTTGGAATCTTCGATTCATAAAACCCGACAAACACATTGGCCAGAACTGGACCTAATGGTGAACCCATGGCCACCCCGTCAATTTGGCGGTACATGGTGTCATCAAAAGAAAATTCAACATCAGTTGTCATCATCTGCATTAGTCTGCGGAACGCAGTTTCGGACATCCAGGGAGAATCGAACTGTTTACTGTACTCTTTATCGTGGTACAGAGCATTAGCGCAAATGTCAATTGTCTCCATCACGGGCACATTGGTGAACAAGCTTACAACGTCGAAGGAGCACATGTGGGAAGAAGACGGTACTGGCTGCTCACGCAGGATATCGATGAATTGGAAAGTGTCTTTTACATTGTGTTTGCAATAGTACTTAGCCACTGGTGTAATCATATCGCACAACCATTTCGAAACTGTATATTGAGGTGAACCACACATTGAAAGTATTGGGCGAAGGGGACAATCCTTCTTATGGATTTTCGGCAATCCATAAAGTCTGGGCCGTGTTGAACCAATCGGTTTAATTCGTAAGTACTCATATTTAGATATTTCCTCTGCATTCCGCAGCTTCCGCAAGTACTTGATGATATCAGATTCTATAGCAATTGTACGGTCGTGTATCTGTACAGGGCCTAACTTAACAAACTTCGACCGATCATCAAGGATAGTAGCCATCTTCGTGTGGTATTGTTCTTTAGTGATTATAACAGTGGCTCTACCTTTGTCCGGTCTCGTGATAATAATGTCTTTCCGTGCTCTGAGATCTCGGAGGGCTTTCAAGTGCTCTCGAGACAAAGAGAAAGATTTACGGTCTGGTTGTTGTGTGGCATGCTCTTCAGCTATCGATCTCAGCTTGGCAGCACAAAGTGACTTCTGAGTATCCGAACAAGGTCTGAATTCAGATAATTTATTGTAAAGTAGTTCAAATTCCATTAAAGTCACTTCAGGTTTCAGCGAAGTAGGAGGAACTCCGTAATCAATGCCCCTACACAAGAGATCTTTCTCTATGTTGCTAAGTTCTACATTGGCGATGTTGATGATGGTGCTATGGTCAATGGTGAAGGAGCCGAACCGTTTCTTACGAAGCCAGTCAAAATTCTTACGATATTTTGTAATCAGGCGAACTTGTTGGTTAGCGTCGTTCTGAGACAGAAGGTTCGAGAAACGCAAGAAGTCCAACGGCGAGAGAAAGGAACGAGCCAGAGCGTATAGATGTCTGAACTGGGATTTGACTTTGCTAAGAGTGTCCTTACTACGGCTAATATCGTCTTTGATAAAAACCCGTTCCAGCTTGAGTGAATGATAAGCTTTTGCCTTGTGAACGCGGTTTTGTATAGACTGAGGGCAAACACCATACTCTAAACATTGTGTGAGGAATGTAAGGTTATGTGCAATACTACGGCAAACAAAGCGCTTCCTAATAATTGCGTTCAGGCAATCAACCTGAGTAGCAGAATATCTCCTTTTGAAGTAAATGAAAAGGCGACGAGGAGACAATAACTTTATTAATGCGATTAATAGTATAAGTGAAGCGGACATTACAAAATGATGAATGAGAATACATGTATCTAAAATGGTTGTTCCTAATCGATTTTCTTGAGACTATCATCAGGGAAAAATCGTCTCACAATAGAGGCTATACGGAAAACAAACTACTTATAGGTTATAGGATAGTGGGGAGTATACAAGGTGAGGTGTGAAGAAAAAAAAAAACTAAAGTGGGAGAGAAGACGAAAGAAATTAGAAGAAAAGATGTGAGAGTGTTCAGACGGTGTGAGCTACTACAAAAGGTGAGTGAAATGAAGGCGTGGAAGCAGGTGACTGTGATAGAGTGAGGAAGTGTGAGGTGTAGGTGTATGCGAATGTATGTGTGTGAATGCTAGGTGAAGAGTCTCAAGGTATTAGAAGCTGTTTTCATCCGTAAACACAATCCTAATCTATGCATTCAGAAAGAAAATGTCACAAAATTGAGACTCTTCACCTAGCATTCACACACATACATTCGCATACACCTACACCTCACACTTCCTCACTCTATCACAGTCACCTGCTTCCACGCCTTCATTTCACTCACCTTTTGTAGTAGCTCACACCGTCTGAACACTCTCACATCTTTTCTTCTAATTTCTTTCGTCTTCTCTCCCACTTTAGTTTTTTTTTTTTTCTTCACACCTCACCTTGTATACTCCCCACTATCCTATAACCTATAAGTAGTTTGTTTTCCGTATAGCCTCTATTGTGAGACGATTTTTCCCTGATGATAGTCTCAAGAAAATCGATTAGGAACAACCATTTTAGATACATGTATTCTCATTCATCATTTTGTAATGTCCGCTTCACTTATACTATTAATCGCATTAATATTTAGAAGAACACCTGACTATTAGTATCGCGAGTCTTTATCTTTGCCAGCACACGATGAGATTCCATTTATGCCCACAAAGTTTGGAAAGGAGCAGAGACACGCCGGGGACCAGTTCAAACTTCAGAATAGCTGCATAAAAGAAAGAAAAGGAGTCAAACCTGGTTGGTACCAAACTTCTTTCTCTGGATGCAAGTAAAGTTTCACCATCACCACCATTTGCCTTGCATGCAGTCATTTTATTTCATGATGATGAGAACCCACCACCTCATCATTAGGCGGACGCCATACTAAACACATAGTAGATTCTTGACATACAATTTATCTTTTTCCGCATTCAGATATTTTCAGGATAAACTTTCAACCCAGAATCAGTCCATTTCCGTGACAGTTTTCCTACATGTTCTTAAACTCCATGGGTCCCGCTGACAACAACCAGATACCGGTACACGCACCAGCGCTAGAACTAGAGTACCCTGTCGTTGTGCGCCATTCATTTGATTGACTGCACAGTACGTGCCCTATCATGTACTGTCGTGGACATGGAAATTCGGTCGCACGTCTAGCGGCCCAGGGAGCTGGCCATGCAGCCGTGGTCCATGGCGGTCGGGGCATTTATGCGCTGCAGCTCGCTGGTCGCATCGGATCAACATGTGCACTGCATGCAGCGTTCTGTACGCGCTGAGGGCGCCGGCCCCGGTCAATCGACTGGATTTCCATGTCCACGACAGTAGATTGAAGTACTCGTATTCCGGATAGCTACTGTATATCATGCCTCTTCGAACTGCAATGTTGTATTTTGACAGTAACCTGTCAATATTGGCCAGTACCCAGAGAAAAAGACTGTCAAACTGGCTGATCTTTTCCCGGTAGAGCAGATGGTGGTAAGATTGCATGTCGCTTTCTGTGTGCCACAATCCGCGAGGACTGTTGCATCTCCGCTTAGTCCTTGAGCGGGGATTGTAGAAAATGTTCTCTGGTCTGGACCTTCGTAGCACACCACAAGCGACCGGGGTTGATTTTTGAGGGTCTGTGGAAATTCTTGAAAACACCGCCATTCCGGCAACAGGCTCTCAGCTGCACCAAATAAACAACTTTGCCAATATTTCGCCCATTGGGCATCATCAGGGCATTGAGGTAGGGGAGGCAAAAATACGAAATATAAAGACGAGTTATGCAGGCAGATGAATGTTCTAGAACTAACACATCATGGTGACACAATTGGCAAGGCCAGCAAACTTAACAATCATCACTTGTAAGGTGACCTAAACAGAACGAAAGATGAGAACTCACACATACACACAGACACAATTTGGCAAGAAGGCAAGACAACTAACACTAAAGTTTACAATCATCACCTGTAAGGTGACCTAAACAGAAGAAAGAGGACTAGTAAGACTATCACAGCACGTACAAGAACACTTCCAAGTGTGGGAATGCTAAAGGCGATCTATGTATATGACAGCGGTGTGTGTGCAAAGTATGTGTATGTGCTGTGTCAGGTGGTAAAGGTCTGTGGAAAATCACTGCATTTATTTTCTCAGTGACAAATGCACAGCAAGAGCGGTCTGTTTGCGTGCAGTGCTCGAATATACACACGGATTGGTTCATTCATTCCAGCTGGTCCGTATAGTTACCCGCACATGTGTTTTGGAGAAGTTTTGAGCAAAACACGCTCACAATTGATCCGAAGTCAAGTGCACGACGAAAACGAGCTGGGAAGTGCGCCCTGATTTCCCTCATGCAGCAACACGAGCTTCAGTGCCACCCGGACAGTAAATTTGAATACAGCAGCAAAAATATAATCTAGCTACTTGTCACTAATAGTAAGGGATTTCTTATGGCATTACCAGGCACAGTCAGGAAAATTGACTGCCCTGTTTAGCTTCAAGCTTCTCAGCAGATAAAGGATAATAGGTGGTGGATTCCTGAACTTTTTAATACGTAAAAGACAAAACGGTCTGCTGAAAGTACACTCCGGCAAGTCTCCCTACTGCCCTCGCGGAGGCCTTCATCACTACTGCCGTACTGGAACACACCGTGCTTACGTACTCCAGATATCAACTGGCGTGCAGTGTTTTATGAGAGTCAGGCTCATCGAAAGCGACCAATAGAGAGGGTAGTATGCAATAAGTACGGATGTCACCTCTCACATCATGTCTACTAATTACGCGTGAATGTCACGTGTGGAACATGACGTAAAAATGCTGGACTTTCAGCACATACAGGTAGATTCCTTCCTGCCTAAGAGCCATACACAATGTATCTACCACCTCGGTAACAGGGACAGCTGTAATGAAATCTGTATCACAGTAATATAGACCTGCTCATCCTCCTCAGAATTAGAGGCTGATGGAGTCAGCCGTAGGAAGTGTGGATATTTTATTACCCCTAGTCACTGTTCAGACAGCGTGTTGTACCTTTACTTTATTTTTACATGTAAACGGAGAATGAACATGGTCGGCCGCAGAGCGCAATGGTGGTGGTGGTCACAGGTGGTGAAGTGGACGCTTACATGTACATGTACATGTATAACTAGAACAGTAAGCTTGAACGTGTATCTTAAAAGTTTTAAAAGCAACCTGCATGCTACCAACCAGTACGGTCAGAGTCATGATAAAGGAGGAATGTAGGGTTCTGGAGAAGAAGGGAGGAAAAATATATTCTCTTCTTGCTACACGAAATCAAACAAACATGTTTCATAAAGTCTATAGAACCATGAATAGCAAGGTTTGAGGTAAAATCTAAGCGCAATCTTAAGTATGCCAACTATTCAAATCTTCCAGGACCTCTTTCCTTTCAGTCAATAAGAAAAAATAACGTTCCACAGGAAACAGACTCCTGACAGAACATAATTATAAAAGTACAATCCATGCTTGTTCACCCTGAAAACTAGAAGGGTCAACATGAATATTATGGATCAATTGAGGAATTTGGATAGGGATATTTTGTCAATACAATTTGCACACACTTACAGTTTGAAGAATTCATGCCTACGTTCATAGCAACCCACAAGGATAGTGTTTAGATACGGATGTTGGCCTTTACACAAGATAAAGAAGTATAATCTAAAATTAAATTATACTGTGAGCAAACAGCCATACCTCAAATTGCATTGCTTTCTACACTATACTCAAATGTCTTTTGTTCAGTCAACCTTTCGGTCTACGAACAGCATCAGAAACGAGGACATGTATGGGAGTCTGGAGCTGACTTCTGACGGCGTCAAGTCGTGCTTGGGGTCGGCTCTGCTCTGCTCGAGCCTCTCGACCAGGTGGTTCACCGCCAGGCTCATACGACCGTGACGGGATGTGCTTTGGAAGATAAGTTTGGCTTTTGGCTCGCGGTCTTGCTCGATGTTCACGATTTTATAACCTGGCCGCGCTTCAGGCTTACTTGGTGCTTCCGGAAGAACGGCTGGAGAAAAAAAGAAACACAATTCCATGTACAGTGCTGACAACTGAAATCCGACCCCCTTGCCGGGGCGCCGCGCCGCCAAGGGGGTCGGATTTCAGTTGTCAGCACTGTACATGTAGATGTGAATGAGCTAAATGATGAAAATAGTTGATGTTTTGCTGCCAGGTTACGCAAAGAAATATGGTGAAACCTTGAGCGGCCTCACGATCACTGAGCTAACATTGCCTGTACTGAATAACAGCAGAACAAAGGTAACATACAAATGAGGCGGTAGCCTTCGGGCGACATTGTAAATACCAGTAATCTCGATTGGCCAGTAACCAAACGAATCTGCAAACTATAAAATATTGCGACTGAGCTTTCCCCCATATACTAGTACCCATTTACTATTATCCTCCACACGTCGCCACCATGCGCTCTTAGCGGAACCAATGCACGAAGCACAAGCACACCAGCATAGCAAAGACACTTTCGTGAACGCGTCTCATTTATGATATTGAAGAACCCCTGGACGTTGGTCTCTGATGGTCTGCATAAGATTGTTGTTCTCTTGGCGAAATCCAGGAGTCATAAATCCACGATGAGCACACTCCTTCGCGAAATCAATACTCCGATTGTGCTGCAGTTTAGCCGCGATCCCTTCTGATACCACCGTGCTACTGTACGGATTGACTCTGTGCCAAAGAATCTCGTGCAAACAGAGTCTTCCACTGTCACATGTCAACATCATGGCTGACAACGTGAAACACCTTTTGAGTTTCCCGCCTTATACATCTCTAATTAGCTAAGAGTCCAGGAGCACTGCACCTTTGCGCAGCTGGCATTTTCGGATGTCAGGCCCATGTCAGGCCATTGCCATACCTTGCTGTATTGTGACGAAGTAATCAACTCTGTCATAGTATTCTCGTTTATGCTTCTCCAGCAGCTCACACCTGTACTGGCCGGCCATGGTTCTCGTCACGTTCCGCAGAACGTAGGTGTTGCTCCACGGGTTAGCGTTTGGGATAAGTGTGCCATTGGAGAGCCATCGACGAAAGTGTGTAGCACCGCCTTTCAGTGCAATGGGTAGCAAGAATACGACACGGGAAAGAAGCAAAGAAGGATTTTCATGCACCTCCAGTAAAGAACAAAGAAATATTTACATGTACCTCCAGGATGCTATTTTGATCTCCAGTGGCTTTGATTTACGTGAACATCCAATAATCAAATTTTATTCACTGGTTTTGAGGGAAAATACAATAATTTACAGAATTTTCAATCTAGAAAACAAACATAAGAAAGGAATAAAAATATAATGTACACGGGAGAAACACTAGAGATTCAAGCGAACTCAGCTGGAGCTGTACCTTTTGAAAAGCAATCCAGCACTAGGCTGGGCTGACCTTCGATGCCTCTCACATTGCGCGGCCCCGGCGGATAGATCTTCGGCCGTGTCGCCGCCAGACATTGTTGGTGTTCCTGCGGTTGTGCACGTACATTGTATTGCATGAATTTGTTAACCTCATGCTTTTCATTATTGTCATGAAAACCATGAGGTACTTGAGCAGTATTAAATTTCGTGAGCTCGAACACTCATTTACCATAACAAGAGAGATCTAAAATCATGAACTCGTTTTGTTAGGTTCGTTCGATATTATCCGGTACAGACAAATTGTAGCCACCCCGTAACCGAAACAACCACTACAACCGTCTTGGGTCTTACCTCTTCCTGTATCACACTGCAATTGCATAGTTGGGTGACATTTTCTTTTTGGTTTGTCGTAAAGCCTCAGACCGTCAGAAATCAAGCCATTAAGGGATGCGGTGGGATACTCCCAATTCAATTCGGCTAAAAGCCGCGAAGCCTCTTAGAACGAAATCATATGGGTATATTACTCGTCTGTTGCCTAGGCTCACCTGTTGTTGCGCTGTAACTACTAGGCACTCGCATTTTGTCCAGACCTTGGTTCGAAGTTCATCCACCCCCTGACAGCGATACTCGCCGCTGTGGTAAATTGCTTGCACGTCCAGTATCTCCAGTCTGAAAGATGCAACCAAAGAGACGCACGATTCGGAAACTACCTTTGTTAATAGTGCAAGCTGCATGGAATCCGAGAATAGGGTTATTCCATTCGAAGTGAGCTAAGTCCAGACTGCACGGTCTGATGATGTTGGTTGGTCATTGTTCCCGTTCTATACTGCAATTAATATCACCTAATTAAATACAGTACGAAAGTTTGGTAGCGGACTCCGCGATAAATAAGGAAGTTGTTTCTCCTGCACTGGATCCAGCGCTAGAGTGGCATAAAACAACTTCTTTGCATGATAATACTGCATAAAATTGTAAGTGAATAAGAAAACAACTTACACCTGCAAGTCACCGTCGTGCCTGACTTTCCTCCTGATTGTCATGCTGGATGCTGTTAGTGCTGAGGTGTTGGCGATGGACTGGCCGTCCTTGGAGAAGGTAGCAAATCTAGCCCAGCCGCACCTCATGTGCCATGACGTGCCTGACGCTTTACAGGTCTTGGCACATTGGTTGTCGCATTGGGGCAGAATAACTGCATTCACAGGGTCACATACATGTAGACAATAAGAATGGTGGGTTCACTTAATCGAAAGAAACACACATCGACAAATATACATGTAAATTGGAGGAGCTTCGGCGACCTCCAATTGGAGTTCTAAGAGCCTCCTTGTAGCATCCAGGACCACAGACGACCAAAACTAAAGATGCTCTCAACCACTTACATGATCTTGAATGGTTGGAAATAGGAAACGCTGCAGAGATGCATATCAAAGCCAGTAGGATTACAATGCACATATTGCAAGTGAATTCCCACAAATCAGCATGCAATCCTCTCAGAGAAAAAAACGTTGGTGGAATTGTAGTGGTGAACAAACCCGCCCGAGAGCTTCGGAAAAGCAAACCAACACGCTAAAGGCAGACGCTAAAGAAAGAACAAATCAAACCGTGGTAAGAATAAGTAGAGCAACATCTCCTTTCCGCTAGAACATTTAAGAACTTTCACCAGTGCCGGAGCTAGTGAGGTGGATAGTTCATGCGTCAGGCAAGGATGGCGTAAACATACTGGTAATGGAAATGACCACAATATAATTCAAGGACTGATGATAACGAAAGTTTAAGTAGCGCCTACAAAAACCATACAAGTATAATGTATATGTTGGCGCGCCTGGTTTTGATGAAGCCGAGACCCAAGGTCGGCAGAGCATCCCTGATCACGCCACCACTCCCCTTATTCCTGGCTCACACATGACGGGTGTACGTGGCTCTAGTAAAAAATATAAAAAAACTCACAGTCGTGTCAATTGCAGGTCGTGGTACAATAGCTCCACCTCAGTTATAGTGTGGTTGCAAGCACATGCAGACATGTTCCAGGATACGGCGGGGCGGTATGGTCTGATCCATACCCAGATGTAGCTGAATGTAATGTATTCACAGAACACCTGCGTACTACCCATCCTGGACATATTCTGAAGTGTGATTCCCCGCTTGATATTTCTAGTTGAGCTCATGCTCAACTTGACACACGGAATAATAATTAAAATACATACTACACTGGGAGAGAGTTGCGGTTGATCTCGACAGTGCTCGTGACACCTAGAACAGGTGCAGAGCCACACACTTCAAAGAAGGAACTAAAAGCGCTTCTGCTGTAGCTCTGAAAGTTCACGGTTAAACGCTCATCAGATAGCAAGTGATGATCGGTTAAAGCTTAGAGTCCCAGAAGAAACGCTTTGGATCCTTCTTCCAGGTGTGTGTACTATGACAGGCCCGGTGGTGGCGATTTGCCTGGTATTTTCCTGCTTCCTTGAGCTGCTTGTCTTCTTAGACCTGACTCGGATAATGACACTCACTGTACCTTTTTTTAGCCAGGTACGAAGCGACTAAGCCAGGAGTACTTTCAGCATTTCCAAGGGAAGCTTTAGGTTTGACTCCTTTGGGGAATGGATTGACTTCTACTCTGAGAGGGTGATGTGTGTTTGCACGTGAATTCCCTGGTATCTTTCAAATTCTCACGACACCTCTTTCATTCAATCGCTCAACGGCGTATGTTGACTAAACGATATAGCTCTGTGTCGTGCATTGTGCATTGCTCACGGAATTACGAGAGCAAACGTAATGGAGTATTCTGTACTTGACACTTAGTCGCCGGACAATGGGAGCAAGATAGGGACATGCTTTGTGAGACAAAACGGGCGCTAGGTCCTATCCGGTGGTTCTGAAACTGTAAAGAAATCGTCTTTGCTTGCCTGGCGTAACATAACATACCGAAGCTGCTTACAATATTGATGCGGCACTTTCAGATCCGAAAAGACTGGAGAAATAATGTGATTTCACAATGTCGGTCCGAAACGGTAGTAATGATCCTAACGCCAACCCAAGCGTAAGGATGAAGGTAATAATTATACACATGTACATGTAACGAGAGATCCTCCCCAGAACACATCCTACACACGTAATTTTCACTCTTGAAATGAAACCAACACAAATTTGGCATCGCAACATGACCCGATACTTGTACACGAACTGCCATCGGGTTATCATCATTGTAGTAACATTATTCAGTATATGGATATGAAATCGGCTGTGTTCCACGGATCAGAGCGTGTTGAAAGTGGCAAAGCTACACGAGAATCCTGTTGTGCATGAGCATAAACCAGTGCAACAGATTTCAGACTTTCAGCCCCTTGCTTCCATCACGTCATTGATCTCTGGCAGTTTGGAGTTCGCGAAAGCTGTGCAAAAATAAAAAAAATTCCTGCCTAGCCTAGCTGGTGGACTAGGATGCAGGAACACAAACAAGGTGATAAGACATAAAGGAAATGAAAATTGACCGAGCACCCCAAGGGATGTGATTACCTTTAGGGCTGCGATTGTCCCAGAGATTATTCAAGTCATCGTTATCCTCCCAACTGTTTTGCCCGATAATGAAATGAAAAATTCTTCGTTAGATGAAAATAACTTCCGATCATGCCGCTGCGGAGAAAGCCTTCATTCAGGGTACAGATACGGGATCAGGGACCGGTCAGCGAGACGTGTGACATTTTGTTACCAGCTGTCTCGAGGTGAATTCTCACTACTGACCCCGCCACTGAATGTCACGGAAAAACTGTGATCTGTGGACGCGACATCATTTCTCTTGGTGGCCCAGTTATGGATGTAAATCCTGATTGTACTGGCCTAACTTCTTCATGCACGTTCAAGCTCGTCAAGGATGAGTACTACGCGCACATGCTGGTGCAATACAAGACAGGAAGACTCGAGAATGTTTGTTGGAGGTGTGGAAAGAGAGAAGGTCTGTCCTGCAAGGACCGAGTAAAGGTGGAGAACAACATGATTACTGCACACAGTGGCGTCTACATCCACGCGCTAGACACAATCAGACTTCTACCAGTCAAGACAATGATAGTTCTGAAGACACAAGCTGAATTCTTCCTACCACGGAGGTGCCAACATAATTTGACATACAAGTGTAGTATCCCTGACTGTCAGTAATAACCCAGCCAAATCTCTACCAGTAGTCACATAATTCAGGGCTCACAGTTGCGTAGAAAAGCGTCGATTGGATGGGGGCGGTTCACGTGCTCCAAAATGTCAGCTTGGCCCATCAGCAGTCAGCATTTCGTCGCATTTTTGCTCGAAGTAGGGGTGTTTGAAGGAGTTAGCAGCACTTCAGCCAGGTTCTACGAAGCTGGGACTTGGCCCAGGCACAGATGACAGGTGTTCCAAAAGATTTACTGAAACAAATTTTCATTACTCACACGGGTATGCCAGAGCATATGCGTAAACTTCGTGAGATATAGTACAGCATTCGAAAGGAGTATCCAAAAACGTCTCTGTAAATTTCTTTGCCAGGGTCTCCTGAAATTTTTGAGCCATAGATTGTCCAAATCGACCAAGGGGGAGATGCTCTGTACTGATTTTAGTAACTCCGAGTCCCAGCGGCGCGCAACCGCTTGCGCGAAAATGTGTGAAGATCAAACAACAAGAAAAACGCATGCATGCAGCAGAACAGCAACGCGTGCCGTCGAAGAGAAAATCATTGTGCACAGATTGTTCAGTGTTCTCTCCTCAGTTCGCCCGCGGCGTTGGTTGCTGTGCTTTCATTCTCGCTGGAGTTCTTGTGGCAGCGCATTTCGCCATCATGGAGGAACTGGCACCATGGGAAACCGGGTCTTCAGTGGCCCTCGACAAACGCCCGGTGGATTTGCAGGTCCCGTTCACCTCCATCCGATCACCAGCTCCGTGTGGTATCATCATGTTCTCGGCGTTACCTGCCTGGCGAGCTCTGACTCGTTTGTTTGTCTTCTTACCTGTGGAATCATCACGATCGCTCATTGTAGCAGCAGCTTTTGGTCGAACATGGCATGTTGTATTTACTGGGACTACTAGTAGCACAGGTTGCGTTTCGCCTTCTCCTCCAAAATATCGCGAACATCGGCTCTAAAACTACGAGAACAGGCTACAAGTACAAGTACAACTCTGGTTCTTTCTCTGTTCTGTTCTGTTTTGGATGCGTGGGATGTACACGATCGGTACTCTCCCGGGGTCACGCGACTTACGTGCACCAAACCCGCCCTCGCACGACGCTTTTGTCGATACTGCATGCCTACTGTGAGCCCTCACATTGTAGTTCACAGCTACATTCTATCTAAGTGCTTCTCCCGCGCAACCACTTAGGACTAGATAGCCCTGCTTGCAAGACCGGTACGAGACTCTGTAGTGCCTCATACGCCATTCCGCATCCCCGGGCTCTTAAGCTGCTCTTCTTTGAATAGCGTGTTTCCCGGCATCCTTCCCACCCAATAACGAGCCCTACAAGTAAGATTCCTTTCGCTACACAATTTTAGATGTCATTCCTGTTGCCCCACCCGTTGCTCGCCACTTAGGTCTATTATTTCCCCCACACTGTTTCTTGTCCTGCTGTTCTCCTGCTTTCTTTTGCCGTCACTCCCAGCTGCTCCGTCCCCTGGCCTATATAAACCCATTATTCTTTCTCATTGCTTTGTGGAATTATGAAGGGAAGAGTTTTAAGCCCGAGAGCTTGTTTTCCTCCCGCTAGTGCTGTAAGCCTGTATCACTTTCTGGTGTAAGTCCAAAGTGCCTCAGACACGAGCAGGCTGGCAGACACTACACAAGTACATTGCACATGTATGTAGTTTGGTTCGCGCTGGTCGTTCACATGACGCCAGCCCTGGCAAGTGTAGACATTTTAATAACCCCTGGTCATTGTACAGCCAGTTTAGTGGTAGAGGCCGATGACTCCAGATCAAAGTCTTCCCCAGCCTGGCACATGAAAATCAAGGCATCCCAAACACCCCCACACTCCCCAAACAAATCTGCGTGCTCCGCTAATGAAGGCCATCAAGCCTCCGATAAAGTGACAGCTAGCTTCAAGCACCTCTGCAGGACAGCTTTCACTGTAGTCAGTTCAGTATGTGTAGAGTAGAGCTGCAGGATTTCCTCAGGGCGCTCTCCTCCGCACACAACTAAATTTAATGCAGCCAGCACTGAGCAGGTAAGGCACGCTAACGTGATTTCGCATCAATGATGTCAGATACGATAACCCACATTGCGAGGAGGAAAGATCAAGCAAGGTGAGATTCGCTGTGGCTATAACGGATGTTTATAAACGCGATATGTTATTGGTCATGAGAATAGACATACATATACATGTAACTACATTGTATACCTTAGTAAAACACTATTATCTTGTGTTAAATGTGAACAAGTTATAAGATAGTGAAAGCCATTCGTGCCAACTAAATTTTCCAACGCGTTTCAGCACCTAATGAAAAAACACAGAAGATTACTCTTGTTATGTCAGCAGTACACCCCCCCCCCCTCTTTTGGATGCACCCACTTTTCAAAAACTATCAATCACTGCGGACAAGATCATAAATGTAAAAGATCAAGATAATTACAAGATCCTGCGAAAACCAAATCAACGAGCAATGCACACAAATCAAGCACTTACGGT